GAAACACCGATTTTGTGCTAGGCTGGCTCCACGCACAGCTGAGTGCACAGGACCAGGTTTCCCTGTTTAACACCGCTGACACAGGAGCACAGGCTGTGATTATGGGTGAGGGTTTGGAGATTAAGCTGTTTGGAAGGATTAAACAGATGCCTCAGTCTCTTTAACAATGTATTGTTTTTCAGTTAAAATGGTCAAACTACAAAACTTTGTACCTTTTCAATATTTCCCCTCTTTCTGAATTTTACAGGTCTTTCTTTCCTCAGCATCCACTGCCTTACTCACCCTACTTCATCCTTATGCAAACAGAACAACATTTACTGACTTATCCTGGTTTAGATCAAATTACACTGAAGTTGCCAGCCTCTCCCTCAGAATCTGTGTAAAAACAATTGTGTTTCTTTATGTAAGCTCCGGGATCAGTAGCTGTAACAGCAGGCCACCAGCTGGGTGGTGGGCAGGGAGCACAGCCTGGAGAGGAGCTGCTCCACGGCTGGTGGCAAGTACCTGTCCCCAGCCTGCACATGCAGGACAGCAGTGGTGGGGGGGATGCGGCTGGGGGGGGTGTGCGTGTGTGTAAAAGAGGGATGTGGGGAGACCAGAGGCAGATGCAGAGAGCAGGCGAGCTGGCAACTGGCGTGTAGACCACACAGAGTGGCTTTGACAGAAGGAGTGATCTGGGAGGGCATCAGAAGAAATTTCTTTTTGAATCGGGAGCAAATATTTGTCCCTGGTTGCAGGAGTCACCCTGTGCCCAGCAGAGTTTATACAAGCCTATAAAGAAAGGGGATTGCATTGAGAAAATAGCTAAATCCATCTTCGGTTTCTCCTCCTAATAAATATAATCTGCAGCGTCCAAAAATCTGGCTATGTGCTCAGGCTGGAAGAAGGTAGTGGCATTTGGCCAGCAGCAAAGTAAACAGAGAAACTGGGTTTGCAGTGTACCTTTATCGGGGATGTGTTGGTGCTCCAGGATGTCTCTTGCATTCACAGTGCAGCTGGATCTGGCACCCCTGGCTTTGTTCGTTGAAGCTGGGAGTGTGGGGCTGGAGATCATGGAGGAGATCATGAAGCAGAGGAATAGCCCTGCTTTCTGACCTCGTGAACCTCCTACAAACACATTCGAGTCCCTATAGCAGCCACACAGATACTTTGTTTTCAAAGAGCTTTCCAGAAGATGTCAGCAAAGCCCCCAGCTTCACTGTAGGGTTGGCTGGCTGGACACACAGCTGGGTATTTGGGTGGTACATAACACTGACTCCAACAGCCCCAGATGTCTTGCTCCATGCCCGTGCATGCAAGTGGATCATCCGACAGCTCTGGTCACACACAGCCCTCCTCTCAGTGCTGGGGGCCATGGCCTGATGGCTCGCAAGTTCCCAAGGCCCACAAGCCGCACATCAGCCAAGTGACTGTCCCTGTCCTAGCAGTGGCTTCGTGACTGCTGGCTGACCCCATGGTATCATTTACCTCTCTTGCAGCTGAAAACAGTGATTGCAACATGAATTAATTAACTTATTTTGCATTTTTTTTCTTTAAGAATGAGTGAATTCATTTGTTAAGTTAGGGTAGTGCAAAGATGATAAATGTTATTGCATAGCAGCAGCAACTTAAAAAGATCCAAGAGATCCTTCTCTCTCTCTCTTTTTTTTTGTGTGAGTGGAAAAAATGTTAAAAACAAATCTCCTAATTTGCTTGTAAGCTGAGATTTCTGCCAAGCGAATATTTACATCCAAGTTTGAAGGATGGGCCGTATAATGTAAGTGCTGAAATACTCTCAAGCAATTCAGAGCTGTTTGATGACATACTCTACAATGTCAGTCCTGTTTGCTGTTAAAATCAGTGGTCAAACTTCCTTTAAATTCATGGGGAAACAGGATCAGGCCCTTTATTTAATATGTTTCTATCTTGGTAGGAGGTTTCTTGTTCCTCTAAAATGTGCCTATAGATGATCTCATGATCCCTTTTGTCCATGTGTGCTGGCAAGGTCCTCACGTAGTTACAGTGCTCAGACATGACAGTGTGCCAGATTACCTGCAGTCCTCGTATCACCAAGGGGGCTGCAGGTTGGGAGGATACTGCTTTTTCATAAGGATTACTAAATTTCCCCTGCAAATACTACCTCCTAGAAATAAACGGAAAGTTTGCTTTCATCAAGAAAACAAGGAAAACATACTCTCTGCCTTTCTTGGGATTTCAGATGGAGAAGGCTGAAAACAAGTTCCTTACCCAGTTTCCAAGTAAAAGTGAAGTAGGACACATGGATATTTTGCCTTAAGTGAAAGAGAAAAGACAGACTATCTGTCACACCTCGTACAAGGCAGCTGCCCTGTGTCCTCAGAGCTCTGCCATGAGTCAACTACAGATTTTGCTGAGGAAGATACCGGAGCTTCTATGGGACATGGTTTAGCAGAACTGTGGCTGATCACATTCAGAAGGAAACACAGTTTGCTTGTGTTTCCATCTCTACTCTGGGACTCCAGCACTGACATTCAAGTATTTGAGATATCCACCAACTCCAAGAAACACAGAAAATATGCAACTAAGTCACAGATAGTTCCTGGTACTGTATAGAAATTGCCCCAGATTTTCTTTACAATAGGAATGAACAGGATCTTCAAAGACTGAACTACATTTTCTGTTAGGATCTAGCATTTTGATTTGAACAAAATTTTTTTGGTGCAGTGGTGATCATCATGCATTTAACGCATGTGTCTTACATCCCTAGGCCTAGGCTTGGATTTCAAAGCTCGGCAGTCTTAGAAGGTAAGATTTTGATTCAGATCCCATCTGCTGACAACAAGCAGGTTGCTCTGATTTTTTTCTCTCTTGTCCTTTTGAACACAAGAACAGCCACTACAACACAATAAAAAAATACTCCTTTGTGTTTTTGTACTTTCCCAAGAATTCAAAGAAAACAACAGATAGAGCTAATGCTCATCTGTGGTGACAGCCACCACCATGACCACCGTTTCTCTTTAACCCTCTCTGTCCCTGCATCAAATCCTCCCAGCTGTGAGTCGCAGCCGCTCCCACACCAGACATCTCCTCCCACTGCACTGTGGCCTTTCCACAGTGGAGAAGCATCACCGGCACAGGGCTAGATCCTGTGCACAGCTGGGTACTGCTGCAGAAACCCAGCTGCAGGACTGGCCAGTTATGGCACAAGCTCGCTCTCCTCCTTTGCCCTGGCAGTTGTAGAAGGGCTGTGCAGCATTTTGACTTTCCACAGGAACAGCTTACATTGCTGAGCAGATACAAGTTTTACTTAGTAGTATTCTGGGCTGTGTTTTGCTGCATTTTTATTACAATTATATAAATGACAGGTGTTGGAAATCTTGCAGATTTGTGTCTTATATTTGAGGTCTTCCCTTTTTCAGTTTCTTTGAAAACTCCAGAGAAATCAGCTGTGTCCAAGGGTATTGCTATGTACCCAGCCTCTGACCCTCACCCCCTTGCCCCATTCAAACATGCACCAAAAAGCCTCTGGGGAAAAGTTTTTGGGGCTGAGCCCAAAATCACATGTGAAAATGGAAAGCTGAGTTTGCATTTTTTAAAAAAAAAACACATGCTATATTGTTACTCTTATACCTAATGAAATGCATCAGATTTGAAAATACTGAGAAGTGTTGTGCAGTGAGGGGGGAGCGTCCCTTTGCAGGGGAGGAGAGGCAGCCCCTGTCAGCTGCAGCGGAGCTGAGCTGGGGACTTTCTCACAGGTCACATCCTTCCACCCACTCAGACAGGTCTTGTCCCTTGCAGTGCATTGCCTAGCCCTCCTTGAGGACAGAAGAAACAAAAAGAGACTGTTTAGGTACTAGACTGTTAAAATTCATACACGATACAAGCAGGCTCAGTTTTTTGTAGGGTCCTTCCCAGTGAGGGACCTCCTGTCACTAGCCCTGGAGAAAGACTTGCAGACCTTCCAACTCTGGCTGAGCATCTTGCGTGGAGGAGTGCAGCCATCACTGTGCCTTGATGCCACCTGAGCTCTCTCTAAGTCCTGGCCAGGAGCAGTGAATTGCCATGGCAGGTCCTGCCACCTCCTGCCATTGCAAGGGTCCCTCCTTCGCTGCGACATCGCAGCTGAGCACAGTGTGTTGAGCATGCAGCGGGCCCTGTGAAAACGACGCTCACCACAGGAGCCCTGAGACCATTCGCTGAGTGTGCAGCACAAACTACTTACCTCACTGCTGCTCAGAAACGCTGCTGCTTCTGCGGTGAGCCAGGCTTTGCAGCAGCCTGCCACAGGAAGCAAAACCAGCTAACAAGTCCGGCTGCAATGGTGGGGGGGGGCAGGGGGAATCCAAGGCAGAATCTTGTCCCTCAACTTGGAATGTATTCAAGATTCAGTGGTTAATGCCAGTATTTTTGCACAAAATGCCTTGGACCTTCAGACAACCACTTATTTATATGATCATTGGAATTGTCTTCTACCTCCACTTCTGTTTCCTCAACTTGCTGGTTACTCTGCCTTTACAGACTTCCTAATTTATAGCAGCCCAGAGTCCTAGAGATGGTTCAGGGCTGCACCAAGCAAGGGCTGTCATCTAGATTCATCAGGATATTTCAGAGATTAATGCTCTCAAATGCTCTGGGAAGAATTGCTTCCATGCTGGGTGCTTCCAGCTAAGAGACAGCAAAAAGCAGAGGAAGGAGCTCTTCAAAGGGCTTTGAAAGCATAAGACAGAGAGAAATCTTCAAGGCCTAACCTACTAGTTGATGGGCTGTTTACTGACCATTTATTTTTCACCTGAAATTTTTCTCCAAAACATTTTTTCTCTGCTCCTTCCTCCCTAGTCTCTCCTGTGAGATGCTTTGCAGAGGCTGAAGCAGTGCAAGTGTGTCTCTCCACTCCCACCCACCTGCAAAGCCTCGAGGTTGTCGTTCCTCCTCTCTGATGTGGCTCTGCTGCCTTGGTGTGACAGTCAGGCAAAGCGCAGCCATGCGCCTTCAGAAACAAACGCGAGCCCTGCCAAAGAAACCGTCCCCGAATGCCGTACCAGGCATTCATTCCGTGTGGGTTTCTCACAATCCTTTTGGCACAGATGATGTCATCAGTTATGTTACTCGATAGCAGATCTGCAGGGAGAGAAGCACAGCCCCGTGAGCTCACTCGAAGGCAGGACACCAGCCCGGAGCAGATGTCCCCACCTGGTGCAGTGAAAGCCAGGCACTCGAGCAGCGCCAGGCATCACTGTGGGGCTGGATGCTGCTCATTTTCCCCACTACTGGGCTGCCATCAACCTCACATGCTTGAATACTGCAGGCAGGCACCTTCATCTGCTTCTGCACAACAAGCAACAGCCATAAATGTATGTTTTCCCCTGCAAATACTGGTGTGCCTGCCTCTGTAATCGTGTGTGAGAAAGGGATGGAAAGAGGGGGAAAGACAGGAGGCCAACCCATCTATATTTATGATATTTCAATCCCTTCTCGCTTGCTCTGCTGGGGAAAAAAAAGCTATAAGGGAGATTTTTCACCTATCTAGAAAAGGAGATTTTGGTCTGAACAGGAACAGGAGGTCCAGTCCTGGCCTCCCAGACCTTGGATTTTCTCATATAGCAGGATGTCTCCTGGTCAGACACAGCAAAACCCTTCCCGTGTCTGCCTGGGAGCTCCCCACTGGTGGCAGACCCCAAGCCAAGCCCTGGATCTGCCTGGCAGTAATGCAACCTTGGGCCATTGCTTTCCCAACCATGCAACCATGCACTTCACAGCCGAGGGGATGCATGTATCTTATCCAGCCCCTCAACACAACCCACCCAAATCAGGACCACCTATCTTCCGCACACAACCAAAACATGCAGAAAGCCCTGGGGTTCCTGGTATCCCAGGAGAGGAAAGGATGGATACAGGCCAAGGGAACGGAGCTGGCCCAGAGGTGCAACTGTGGAGAAGGCTTGGAGGAAGCAATTCTATGGTGCCTGGGAGAAATGCCTCTGGCCATGGCCATGGCCTCTCACTCCCCATCCTCAGGAGTCGGTGGGGCTACCCACACCCTGCACAGACCGAAAGAGGAGCTGGACCCAGCCGTTCGTCACTCCCAACTTCCCATGGCCACAGGCATCGAGTGGCCCAGGTTGCGCCCCGCATGTCCCCGCAGCTCCATTTTGGCCAGGAGCTGAAGTTGGGCAGAGCAGAAGGGCTCAGGCTGCTGCCTTTGCTCCTGGGGCTGGCTGTGGAGGAGCAGCTCTGGGGCACCCCTGGAAGCCATCCCACGGAGGTTATCCGAGGCGCTGCCACTATCGGTGCACCACAGCTGGCTGCTGCTCTGGAAGATGCCATGGTCGGTGCTGCCATACACTTTGATGCCCTGAGCTGACATGTTGAAGGTGGTCTCGTAAGAGGCCATGCAGAGCTCTGGACAGGGGCAAAAGGCACTCAGACTGTGCCACAGCTGCCATCCCTGTGGATGACAGCAGCTGGGAAGGAAAGGCTGTGGGCAGACGGGGGACTGAAACTCACAGTCGGCGAGGCGGTGGGCCCCGGAGCCATCCAGCCCCTCTTCCTGGAGCACATGAGCCAGCTCACACAGACCAAACACCTTGGCTTTGGTGGCCATGGTCAGCAAGGCCAGCAGCAGCAGCAGGGGAGACCCCATTCCTGCAGGGCTGCTGGTCCTCGCGTACAGGGATCCCCAGGGCGAAAGGTAAAAAAAAGGCGTAACCAGGTAGTAAAGCACCGTTAGACATCCAAGGCCAGCTCCCCATCAGGTAGTGACACAGCTGGCTCTGCTGACCCTGGGCTGCTCCCGCCTGCCGTTGGGGTGTGCACACCCATGCATGCAGGCACGCACGTACACAGCGGCTGTGCCGGACAGCCCGGGCCACAAACAGGTTTTATCAGTGCAGACGTGGAAAATGCAGAGCTTCAGGCACTGCCATTTTGCACTTTTCTTATACTAGTGGTGAAAGGTCAGGTGTCTGGTGGGAACTGGAAAGCTGACAAATGGGTCCCACTAAGGGAAGGGTTACATGCTTTAGCTGCTCAGATGTCTTGGCTCTTTCCCTGGTGCTGCTCAGCCTGTGAGCAGAAGCTGTGATGTGCAGCGACCTCATTGCTGTTGGGAAGCCGTACCCAACTCACTGAACCTTAGCCCCAGTTTGCACATCAGCCTCTTACACAATTACCAGCACGCACAGTGAGTCACATCCTACAAGTACAGGGAGTTTGTCTGAGGTAGGATTTCAAATCTGCACTTTAACAAACAGAATTAATCATAGAATCATTAAGGTTGGAAAAGACCTCTAAGATCATCAAGTCCAACTGCCAACACATCTCCACCATGCCTGCTAAACCATGTCCTGAAGTGCCATATGTACATGTTTTTTGAACACCTCCAGGGATGGTGACTCCACCACTTCTGTGAGCAGCCTGTTCCAATGCCTGACCACTCTTTCACTAAAGAAATTTTTCCTAATATCCAATCTAAACCTCCCCTGATGCAACTTGAGGCCATTGCCTCTCATCCTAAATTAAATAATTAAAATCCTTTCCTTGGGGTTATTTCTCTCTTAATTCTCCTTTCTTCCTTTCCTACGGTGCACCCTCTGTTACCACACCTGCCTGGTGGTCTGCTTGCTGGCCGAGCAGCGCAGTGCAGCCCTCCGCCCAAGCAGGCCATGCCCAGGTGCCTGTGGAACCAGAGCCCCTTGCAGCCCTGCACAGCGGCTTGCAGCAAGTGACAGAGGCAAGCGGTGCCTCTGCCGCTGCCTCTGGTGACCATCCTCTGCGGGCAAGGGCAGTAGGGGCTACTTAATAACCCCCCACCCCGTTACCCGGGGCTGCAGCCCCCGAGCCCTGCCCACCTCACGGGAACAGGGAACAAGCACAGCCAGGGAGCATTGTAGCTGTGACCATGCTTTTCACGGATAGACCTTTGGGGTTCATTTTCTGTTTCACCTCAAAACTAAGCCTGCAAGTGAGTCTGACAGCAAGGGTATAATTTATATTTTAAGCTCATTTTGTAGGATATTTGCACAGACAGAGAAATATCACCTTCTCACTGAGAATAATAGCAGAACTGTTTCCAATGCCTCCAGCTGGGCAGAAGTGGGATCCCATGAACAAAATTAAAGTAAATTTGTGTCCAAATTTTTTTTAATTTCTACAAGGACTTGCCCACAAGTAATTGGAAAACCAAGAGTTATCACACAGATCAATTGATGAGCCAGGACAAGTGATGAATTACACGCTTGTACTGGGTTAGATGCTGTAGAGACAATTAGCAAAAGGTTCTTCCAGTCAAGGCAGCAAAAAGAAATATGAACATGCTCGTTGTCCTCAGGTTTGTGGCAAGGACCCAAGAGGTTTTCTGTCTGCGCTAGAGCAGTCAGTGCTTGCTCCTGGCATGCTGGCATCTCCAGTTGAGTCAGCAAAAGCCACTTCTGCCCCACGGGCTGGTACCACCGTGAGGCTGAACCAGGGCCTGGCCACACAGCAATGTGGAGGTGTTTATTCACTTTTGTCTTACCATTCTTCTATCTATTTGTTTTTGGCCATGAACACTAATAAACCCAAGGAGAACTAAAAAATCACTTAGAAGAGGAACAGCGGAAGGAATCTCCCACTTATGGAAGGATTTGCTTTAATTCAAACTATCTAAAGATAATAAATAACAGGGCTCCATAATGACATAATTTGCTCATCTTCTTGGTTTCAAAGTATTTTTTAACAAGCAAAATGAGGTTGCAAACATGTCTGTGATATCTCCTCTGGATTAAATATTAATCGTGACGGCAAAGTAATAAATACTGAAATCCTGCCTGGTTGTTCTGACATGCAAGTCCCTAATTTCAGCAGGAGATAAAATGCCACAGAGCCAGTACAGTATCTGTGTCATTGCAAGATTTACAGCTCGATTCCCTGCATGGAAACAAAGGAACAAACAGCTGCATGTCACGCATTGAACTGAAACATTACGGATTACATTATTACTCGAGTTTCTACAGGACTTCTCAGTGGGGGAAAAAAAATTCTATTAACTCTCTTTTACAACTACCAGCAGGGCAACTTGAATCTCCTCCATTTAGAAGGTCTGGGGACCTTAAAACCTGAATAGCAGCCCAGGAGCTTTGTCACAAGGTCTGTCTGTTTCCTTTCCTTCATAAAATTCCTATCTCCATTAATCTGTGTTTATTTTCCTTCTGCTTTTTAATTTGCTTAATGGACTTCAGCCGAAGTCTCTCCTAGAAGTCAGAGGAAAGTAAACTCTGATAAATCCTTTGGGACTTAATAGTCACAGTTAAGCACTTCTTTGGATTATTTTGTCTGACTTTCATGTTTGCTGCTGCAGAAATGTCGGCTGCCTAGTACAGTAGCCCTAACCCCATGACTTAAGAGCCTGGGAATGAACTGACGAAAGATATCCCTCTTTCTTTCTTCTTCTATAGGCATGGAAATGCAACTAGACTAGGTTTACACTCATAAAAGGCAACTGCGGTGTCCTCCACATGTTTGCCCTATGCAGAAAGCACGTTGGAGGCTCAGTGCTGCCTCAAACAGCCGGTCTCTCCCATACCCAGGCTTTAGTATCCAGGGTCAGAAGGAGGAAGCCCCAGCTGGGCAGGAGCTGCTGTGCATTGTGCTGGACCCGGGCTGAGTGCTGGGGAGCACAGCCCAGTCTGGGCACCTCCAGCCTCAGCTTCCTGAAGCCAGGTACCATCGCTGTACAGGAGGTACCAGCTGCTCCTCCATCACGAGGCCTGGCACCCCTCACCTCATCTCTCAGCACAGATGGTGTAAGGAGGGAGCTGCAGATCCCAAGCTTCATGGGGAATTTGCCCTCTGGCAGCCCGTAATGGGCATCAGATACCTCCTGCAGGAGGGGAGACCTGTGACATTTCCTTGTTCCCGGTCCTACTGGCATTATCTGCTCAATAATGTTTCATGTTATTAATCTATTATTATCTTTTCAATGGGTAGACTTTGAATGACAGCCAACATCACTATTAGTCTCTAAATACCTTTTAGTTAGCAGTCCAAATCCTTTGTGTTCTAGCTCATATATTAGTTTCTATGCAGCAGATTCATTTTTGCACAGCATTTATTCCTGCGAGATCTGCTTACTCAGAAATATCATTGTATAATGAGGTCCTAACTGCCTATTTCTAATCCTGAACAAAGGTTCACTTTATTGTTCATTTCAGCAATTCACATTTTCATTTTACTTCTTCCCTGTGTGATAGACGTAATTAATGAGGTCCGATTCCACCAACCTTTCTATTTCCTTTGTCTAATGATCAGGTTTTTAAAAAAACCCTCCATGGTTTTACATGTTGCTGGAGCAATTGACACATGCCCATCTGTATTGAAACTAAGGCATGAAGCAAAGGAAAGCACTAAGAGCTGAGCTGGCTTGTATCAAGAATGGTGTGGCCAGCAGGAGTAGGGAGGTGATCATGCCCCGGCACTGGTGAGGCCGCACCTCGAGTACTGTGTTCAGTTTTGGGCCCCTCACTACAATAAGGACATTGAGGTGCTGGAGCATGTCCAGAGAAGGACAACAAAGCTCGTGAAGGGTCTAGAGAGCAAGTTGTATGAGGAGCAGCTGAGGGAGCTGGGACTGTTTAGTCTGGAGAAGAGGAGGCTGAGGGGAGACCTTCTTGCTCTCTACCACTACCTGAAAGGAGGTTGTAGTGAGGCAGGTGTTGGTCTCTTCTCCCAAGTAACTAGCGATAAGACGAGAGGCAATGGCCTCAAGTCTCATCAGGGGAGATTTAGATTGGATATTAGGAAAAATTTCTTTACTGAGAGAGTGGTCAGGCATTGAAATAGGCTGTCCAGAGAGGTGTTTGAGTCATCATCCCTGGAGATGTTCAAAATAGATACAGATGTGGCACTTCGGAACATGGTTTAGTAGGCATGGTGGTATACTTGATGATCTTAGAGGTCTTTTCCAACCTATGGTTGTATGATTCTATGACATGATTCCTCTGGCTGACAAACCCTGGTGTAGACAAATCATGGGCCCATTGACTTCTAATTGAAATTTTATTGATGTTTTGGCCCAATGTGTATAGACTGAGGGCAACTTGTTCCTAAAGAAAACTTCCTTCCTCCTCACTTTGTTGGACCCACTTGGTAAAACTGTCACCTGTGAATACATAGGCTTCTCTCTCAGAAGCGGTAAGTAGCAGCCATGAAGAAGGTAATTCTGGCCATTTTTATAAAATCACGCCATCATGTGCCAGAAGAATAGCTGAGCCACTGAACAGGCTCCATATCACAGTTAGTATCCAACCCTGACTACTTTGCCTCAGATCTGTTTTTCTTTCCTTGGTATAAAAGGGTGCAGCCCCCACATGCTAACCTAACCATAAATCTCCACAATACTTTCATTACAACATTTCTTATCTGAGTGTGCTATCTTCTGGTACCAGGTGGTCAGCCACAGCACAGCTTCAACTTGCTGTTTTGTAACATCATCTAATACTAATAATGAGAGATTAGGAGCTGGAAATACATATGGTGAGGGTATGTAATTATACAACTCTAGGATATGAAGGCCTTATTTAAAAGAGCAATCGAGTACTTGGGGATACCAGAAAATGGAATGTGGTAGCATCACATGGAAACATGCTCTTTGGAATGGCTGAAGGC